TAAGTCAATTGCAAATTCAATTTCCCTCTCTGGAGGAAAGTGCGGAATTTCATCCGGAAAGACATCCTCAAACTCAGAGACAATCGGAATAACAGAAATTGGCTCCTTGTTGACGCCAACCAGACCTCCCAATAAAACATACCCGGAATCTCCTTCCTTCAAGGCCTTTACCACCTGAAGTACAGACAAATAAGGAGACTCCATTTCTTCATCATGAGATGAGACATAAATGGTTTTACTGCAGCAGTCAATCTTCACACAGTACTTGGACAACCAATCCATCCCCAGAATTAAATTCACAGAAGCAAGGTGCAAGACAATAAAGTCGGCAGAATATTCCCTGCCTTCATACTTGAATTTCACATTTTCACAAACATAGTCTTCATTAAAAACTCTTCCCACAGCCGTAACAATACGCATAGGAGTTTTCATTTTTATCACATGCAGACCAAATGCTTCAGCTACATAATCAGCAATAAAAGAATGCGTGGCACCAGAATCAAACAAAACACTAAGCATTTCATCATGAATAGAAATCATACCTCGCACCAAACTAGCTGACCTCTCAGCCTCTTGCTGAGTCACTGCATATACTCGGGCAACTGGAGGTGGGAGAGGTAGAGATGGTTCCTCAACCACAATAGGAGCCGGAGTGGCCTGAATAGTAGAAACTTGTCCCCCATTAAAGGGGCAGTCCCTAATAAAATGCCCAGGTTGGCCACATTTGTAACACAATCTTTGCTCTTTTCTGCAAACCCCAGCATGAACTTTACCACATGTAGCACATAGAGAAGCAGGCTTAATATTTCCAGGCTTAGAATTTCCCGCCTTTTTGAACTTACCATCAGACTGTCTAACCTGCAACCCTTTTCCTTTAGAATTCCCAGAAGTGTTTTTAGGACCAGAATTAGGAGCAGATTGGTCCTTATGCTTCCTTCTGTAATATTCTTGAATATTTTTACACTTTTTAACAAGTGCAGCAAAAGTATCAAATGAGTCACCTGCAAGTTTTTCAGAGATGTTATCATGTAATCCTCTATGAAATTTAAAAATCAAGTCATCCTCTGTAGGTGGAGCTCTCTGGAAATGAGAGTATTTGGCCAGCTTATTGAACTTATTCAAGTATTCATCAATAGACATCTGACCCTGCTTTAGTTCTTCAAATTCACCCTTCTTCCTTATCCGGGCTTCAGCCGGAAAGTATTTCAGCAAGAATTGCCTTTCAAATAAAGGCCAGGTAATAGCATAACCCTGACATTCCAAGGGCAGACGGGTATTTCTCCACCAATCAGCTGCATCATTCTGCAACATATAAGAAGCATACAACAATTTCTGCTGATCATCACACTCCATGACAGTAAAAATGCGATCCAATTCTTCTAACCACTGAATTGCAGCAATAGGATCAATGCCTCCTTTATAATTTGGTGGTGCATGTTTTCGGAAGGCATTTAGCATTCTTTCTCTTTGCTCTCTATTAGTGGCTGGCTGTGCCACACCACCCCTGTGACTAGATTCTTCATTCACATCATTATTTCCTTCACCCTCCACAACAATGGGATTATGAGGAGGAGGAACAGGCTGTTGTGGTTGTGGCTCAGGCTGTGGCTGTTGCAAAGGCTGTGGCTGTGGACCTTGCCCACCCGCCCTCACCTCAACCAAGAGTAATCTCATCATTTCAATATTCGCCATTCTGCTTGCTGCCATCATTTCTTGATTGGCCAACCTATTAGCCTCTAACAGATCTTGATTTGCTTTCATCATCACTTCTAGCTCTCGCTGCCTAGCTGCAGCCATATTTTGTTGCATCTCAGTTAAGGCCATTATCATTGGATCTGGCTGTGAAGTATTTCCCCGCGGGTTAAGTCGGGGTCTTGCCAAATCTGCCAATATTGGATCGGTCGGGTCAATAGGAGGATCAGAAGTCCTTCTTGGGCGAACCATAATTCTGCATATTTCACACAAAGGAATGAGTTAGCTACGCTCACACTCGGTGATCAGACATGCATATCATAGTATTCCAAGAAAAACTCAAGAACATAACAACCCGAACAGTTCATGCAATATTTCACAGGCTCTCCTAGAGAAACTGCTCTGATACCATAAATGTAACATCCCCGTCTCGAGCCGGTTCAATTAACATACATATGATACAAACAGAAACAGCGGAAGACTTAACTTACAAAAATATGAGCTAACTTTTTCTTTTTCTAACTTAATTCTTACTCGGCGTAAACGAAAATCGGGCAGAGTTTCCTCTATAAATCGGACAACTGGGGATTTTCCAATCCCACTCAGAAGCATTTCCTGATAAACAGTTTATACAACATATCAATTCAGAAATACCAGATATCCAAATATAATCAAATACCCATACATGGGCGCATGCATAACATGGCTCCGTGCCACTAAATCTAACAGCATGCCATCAAAACATAAACCTATCTGAATACTACATCATCATATAACGTTCCTGAATACTCAAATGTACATGCATCAAACTGATAGACATGTACAAAACATATACAGGCCATATACAAAATAAAGGATCAATATCATGATCCATCAAATGCGAAAATACTAAAATACATCAAACACTCCAAAAAGGTAGTAGCCTACAGCCACTCAAAATCCGGTCTGTCAACTGCCTCAGCCACGTGTCGTGTCCCTGCCTAGTGAGGACTCACCGGAAATCTGGGCCCCTGAAAATGTGTCCCCAAAGAGGGGTGAGATTACAAATCTCAATAAGCTCCAGGTTTATAGAGAATTCTCCATACCCCTGGCTCACTCCTGCATGAAATTCAGATACAGAGTATACAAATACAACATATAACAGATATCATAACAGAACAGAGCATATATCCATATCATATCAGAGATGTGCGCCGTCATTCCCAAGGGAGGACCCCAAGCGGAAATCAACGCACGTGTTCCCGAGGGAGGACCCCAAAGCGGAACCAGACATATCAGAGGAGTACACCATCAGTCCCGAGGGAGGACCCCAAAGCGGACGTCCGGGTACTATACAATCAATGGCCAGAGATTGTTACAGAAATCATATTACAGAAGTCATATCAGAGCAAAACATATCATGTTATCAAATAACTCTATATGAATGCATCTATACAAAGCATCTAAATCACAGTCATACAGTCCAACCATAGTTCACTAACCATGGTGGAGCACTCAAGCAGGAAAAGACTCCTTAAACATAGAGCTTACCTCTTGAAGCTTTACCAATACGCTTACTTGTGGAACAAGTTACTTTTATCGCTTCAAGAGATTTCCGATCCTTCTCAATCCCTAGGCACACCTAGAGAATAATTTACAATGCATCAATAAAATGATGCAATACCATGATTATTTCATAAGCATACATTTTATCGCTTATTTTCCTTTCTTTATATTTTTGCCAATTCTATGCCAATACACAAGTCTAGACCTCTATACACCCGTTGGCGTTCTTTAATTTAATCAAGCATTTACTTAAGAATTTTTCACATAAATCATGTTATTTTTCTTTAAAAGTCGCGGGCGTACCCTTAGGGACTCAAGGTATTTTTCAACCATTTGTCAAAGCATTTCACTTCTTAGCTCATCCATTGGTATATTAAAATGCAACCCATTTTATTAGAATAAAATGTAACCAATATATATATATACCCCTAAACATCCTATAGTTCGCAACATAGAGCAAGTATTTGTAGGATTTTTTTCTAACTTTGGCATTTCCACCAATTAATCCATTTACACTACATTCCAACATATTTTACCTTTTCAAACATACAATAAAAATTTGCATGATGAACCCTATATAAGCCATGAAGGCCGAAACCTAGGGGAAAAGTGCACTAGGGCTTTTCAATTTTTTTATCACAAATTAATGCTTACTAAACACTATCATTCCTATACAACAACAATCCATCATAATTTTCACCTTCTAACATCAAATATTTCCCACTCAAAACATGCTCCAAATTTTCAAAACATAGATCACAAAATAATACCATAGAAATAAAGGTTTCTTACCTCTAATCACTTGTACAAAGCCTAGAGAATAACCTCCAAGCAAAGCTCCATCAAAAACCCACTTTTTCTCCTCCTATGAATAGTAATCCGAAAATAAGAGGAGGAATAACTCTTCACACACTCAACTATAGCTCAAATGGATAGGTGCAATGGATTCCTTGAGTGGTTCCTAATCAATTTCAAGTGGTGGGTCATAAGATTTGGTTGAGAATTCAAGAAGAAATCAACAAAACAAGCAAAACCCTAACCCCCCCTTTTCCATGGCTGAAGCTCGGCCCTTCAAGAGAGAGAAGAAGAAATTTTTGCAATGAATAGTGATTCATTTAAGTGGCCAAGCTATTTAGGCACATGTGGCCCTTTTGTCGGATGTTTTTCTATCGCGTATTTCACTTAAATTTACCGGAAACTTAACTTAAAGCTACGGATATATTTTTATTTTTCTAAAGTTATTTAAATTAATTTTTATTTCCTAAGGAACAATATTCATAATTCACAGTATGGTTTTTGCACCGTTTTTAACGAAATGCACTGTGAACCACTAACTGTACTTTATTTAATTCTGAAACTTAACACTTATAAACTTATCATTTTCTTGGGCCTATATTGACTTGCTTGGCATATATTGGACTTTCTTATTCTTATTTCATCAATTATTTATTTCTGGACTCTACCGGTTGCTTAAACAGCAGTACAAAATACCCGGTAGAAACACTATTCACGAGATTTTCACGGAAAGTGCCAGACTATACAATTTTTCGTTCTGAACTCATATTTGTCATCAGAATTTTCAAATTATGTTCCTAAAATTATTTTGCTCATTTTAAGCTCTACCGGTTAATTCACAAAACTGTAAATTCTCCGGCAGAACGCACTGTTCATAACATAGTCATGATTACAGTCAAAATACTCGAAATCGCTCACTGAATCTAATTATGGCATTTAAATCCTTAAATTAAATCTCTAACTAAGATTTACCAGTTAGGGTCATTAGTACCTCGTAAACAAGATGCTACACTTCCATTAACCATGAAAGGAAATACAAGTAACCTCTCAGTAGGGGTCATGCAAAAACCACACAGCCGAAGCAAATTTCGATGCACAACCATGCTGATCATTTTTACTTCAGTTTGAAATTGTAGCTCCCCGCCTTGGGTGCGTTCCTCTTCAAGTCTTTTTACTGCAACAAGAGAACCATTTGCTAAGCGTCCTTTATAAACTTTTCCAAATCCACCTCTACCTAGAATGTTTTTGTTATTAAAGCTATCTGTTGCAACTTGCAGTTCACGCAGTGAAAACTTTTTAAGCTGACCAAGGTGAACTTCACGATCCTCCTCTGCGGCCAGTAAAAGACACACAAATGGTTATCATATTCAGCTTTAATCAGTATGTATACCATCTTTTCTGATAGTCAACTAACCAGGAACATCAATGAAATAATCCTTTGGCTTTCTTCTAAGCCAATAAGCAAGCGCAATTGCAGGGGCTGCAAACAACAGAACAGCACCCACAACAACTCCTCTAGCAATAGTCCCAGTGGCACTCCTACCTACATGGATTAAAAGAATTAAATGGTAAAGTATAAGTCTATTATCAATTCCCTCTCTTGAATTTGACCATCCACCTAAAGAAGCTATACATTTAAGCATGCGAAAGAAACTATGCGTAAGGTATCTCCATCATCAGAGATCACTGCTCAATGACAATCAGTCCATCCTTTTCAATAAACTTGAAATTTTAAGAATGAAAAGGTTGAGTCATAGGTGCCATACAAAATCACAGAACAAACATTTGGAGAAAAACTATGTAGCCTATTAATTATCGAGGCTTACATTTCTCCTTGCCTTATGGTGGTAAAGGATGGAGGAAAGATTGTTAGTAAGGAAATGAATGGAGTGGCTGCAGCTTGTACAGAAACAAAAGCAAATTACAGGTACAGGTACCATCAGAGATCACTGCTCAATGACAATTAGTTCATCCTTTTCAATAAACTTGAAATTTTAAGAATGAAAAGTTTCAGTCACTGGTACCATCCAAAATTACAGAATAAACATTTGGACAAAACCTATGTAGCCTATTTCTCCTTGCCCTTTGGAGGCAAAGGGTGGATGAAAGACTGTTAGTAAGGAAAGGAAAGGAGTGCCTGCATCTTGCACAGAAACAAAAGCAAACTACTAGCAAAATTGAAAACATTTTACATAGTATTAATTTTACGAGTTATAAAACACCATTTTTTTGCCTTTGCTTACCTTAGTGGTATAAAATTTTAGGACAAGTGATTCTTTTACATGGTATCAAATTTTAGTTAACCTAGTGGTGTCGAGTTTGATTATGCCCTCAGTCTTACAGTTTCATAACAAGGTTGATTTTGCTTTCAATTTTAGTGGTAAGCCTGTATTTTTCATGTTTCAAGCCTAGTGGACTCTCACATGAGGGTTATGTTAAGAGTTACATTCTCAGTTGTTTTATGGTTAAATATTCTTTAAAAATTTAATTCATTACTAGCAAAAAAACAAATATTAACAAACCTGACGTAGTTTGTTGTGGTGGAACAAGTGGCGGAGCTAGAAGGGATTTGTTCTTCAAGAGTGGATTATTGTTAAAACTGTAAAGGGGAACACAACATTAGCAAAATTTTGGTATCTCATTCTCATCCCTCAATAATAATAATAGTAATGTGTTAGGACCCAATTGCATGTTATGGGACTTGAGTCCCAAGTTATAAGTATAAGATTCTGATGTAGGGTTTATATGGGCTTGGGTTCTCCCACTACAATGGCTAGCTTTTGTGGTGTGGTTCTCCCAAGATTTTATCATAATGATATAAACAATTTCATTTGCACCAAGTCACCAACCTGACAGGAGTAAACATTGAAAATGAACCATTGGCTAGGATATCTCCTGATAAGTTGTTGTTTGCTAAATCACTATATTCCACAATGACCATGGTGTCAGGTTATGCATAAAAATAAAAACATATCATTATAACAATGTATCTACATTTGGAATAGCTCATGAAAAATCTAAAAAAGGTATCTGCATTTAAAGTAGTTCATGAAAAATCTAAATATATGAGTGAAACTCACAGGATTTGGAGGGTAATAACATTGGTCAAAGACATAGGAATGTTTCTGGTCAAGCTGTTATTGTTGAGACGCCTAGTTCAGGGAGCAAAGTCAATTAGGTTGCAGATTATAACACCTCACAATTCTAAATTAAGTAATTAATACATTAAGTGAATAATTAAGTGAAGGATTAGTGAAAATCCTGAAGAATAGGCCAAAATACAAAGAAAGGGCAAAATTGTAATTAGCCATGCACACAACCCTAGGAAGATGAAAATTGAGTAGAAGGTCACGTATGGTAAAAATAACCCTGGAAATGGATTCAGAACGAAAAATTGAGTGGACAGGCAAGTTTCAGAAAAATCAGTGAATAGTGTTTTTCGCAGGTAAAAATACCGCAATACGATTGCACCGTAAAATGTGCCAGTTGAGTTTTGAGCTCTAGGTTTCAAATATGATTTATAAATGGTCTATAGAACTAGGAAATATGATTTCTGATAATATTTGATGGAATTAAGTCAGTTTGGGGAAGCGTGCCAATCGCGCGCGCAACAGCTTAAAACAGTGTTTTCTCCGAACGACCGGAAAACCCTGGATTCATCTGATTAAGTATAATTAAAGGAGAATAGTTAATGTTAAATATCAGAGTTTCTAAATAGGTTTTGAATTTATGGATGTTTAGTGGAATCGGAGGGAAATTCAAATGAGTTTGAAATCGCGTGAGGTGGCGTGGGACCCACCTCATCACCACTATTCATCATCACCTTCTCTCTCCCTCCTTCCTTGCAAACCCGCAGCCCTTCCCCTTCCAAGAGCCATTTCACTTCAAATTTTCTTTTCACCATAACTTGATCATTTCTTAACCAAATCAAGTGATTTTTGTGTTGAAATTTGTTGGAAACAACCTTCTAAACACATTGGTACCATTCTTAAGCCTTGAAACTGTGTATTTGGGGAGATATTGTCCATTTACAGCCACGAAATTTTGGAGAAAAAATGGTTGTCCATGGAGCTTTTTGATCTTCCATTGCTTGGAGGAGTCTTGGGTTAGCTTCTAGCCTTTGTTGTGAGTATGTTTCCATCCCATTTACATGGTTTAATTGTGATTGAATTTTTGGAAACCTAAAACTTGATTTGATGATGTGTTGTGTTAGGGAGCTCAATTGGAAAATGTGTATTAGAGGATAATGTCTTAGAATGATGTATTAGAGCTAGAAATGCGATGAAATTTATTAGTGAAAATTGATGAATTTAACTTAGGATTTTTTGGTGGTCATGACATGGAATTTTGGAAAAATGTGTTGTGATGTTAATAATGAGTTGTTGTATGATTGAATAATGATATAATGTAATTGGTTGAGGTGGGGAGTTGTAAGAATTGATGGAAGTCCTTGGATGTGAGAAATGGTGTAAATCGGTTATGTTATGAAAATGGAGGAATTGATGTGAAAAATAATTTGAATGATATGTTGTGTGATTATATGGTGACTAGATGGGTTGTGAGGTGGTTGGAAAGTGTTTGAATCAATGGGAAAAAATGGATTGTGTTTAGGGACCTAAATGAACCTAGAATGAACTATTTAGCGAAACGATGCTTAAAATACGTAAAACGTTGAAACGACAGTTGAAATGGCCTTATGGCAACACAAGGATGGGTACTAAAATGAGAAAGAAAATTTAGAAAAATAAATCTCCAATTAACACATGGATGGCCGAACCTTCAAGGAGGAAGGGAGAAATTGTGCAGTTTTCGCGTTCTGATGTAATTCGACGCGAAAATGACGAACCGACACTTGAATTGGCCTCTTGACAACCTATTGAGGCGTAATAAAATGAAAAGGAAAATTTAGAAAAATAAAATTTAAATTTAGCCTAGGATGGCCGAACCTACCACGTGTGGGTGAGGTGATTTCGTGATTTTTGCACTTTGATGCTATTTGACGTGTACTGATGGCTGTACGTGATTGTATAGGTTGTCGTACGTCGACCTGAATCCCGAATCTTGAATCAGTGAGTTGCCCTTCGTCCGGGACCAAGTGGATTGAGGTAAGTAATTGGTTCAATGCATGTATAATTGTAAATTAGCATGTATTGGTTGAACTATGAGTGATTGGGAATGTCCTCTGTGTAGGCATTCTGTTGTGTACCAAGTTGAGGGATAAGCTGCTGCGGAGCTTGTGAGAAGAATATTTAAGGTAACCTCTTGGTACTGGGGCTTGTTCCTCTTTTCTGTTCCACCTTGCCAGTTGATGGCAATGGTAGGAAGTGTATATGAGTAGTGTAGAACAACATGAGCATGCATGCATTATCACAGTGGGTACTTATGTACCGAGTCTCTGACCAGTAGACTAGTTTTGCCTGCGGGCAGTGCGGACTTCCACTGGATAGGTCTCCAAGAGGGAGTTCCAGTTGACCGAGGGTCATAGTGTGTGATCCGGATAGGAGCACACTAGGAATGTCTCAGGTGTTATGGATGGAATGGGTACCTTGGTGGTAGTGATTGATCACACCTTGGGTGGACCCGATGGAATGGGTACCTTGGTGGTAGTGATTTGACCACACCTTGGGTGGACCCGATGGAATGGGTACCTTGGTGGTAGTGATTTGATCACACCTTGGGTGGACCCGATGGAATGGGTACCTTCGTGGTAGTGATTTGATCACACCTTGGGTGGACCCATAGGCTTATATATGCCCAGGGCGTGCGTGGTATTGGTAGCTACCATCCCGCATCGTCGTATTTTGTATTCCGATATTTCCCCAGTTTCTCTAAATCCCTTGCTATATCCCATTTTCAAAGTGGTTGTTTTATTCTGCTTATATTTATCGAAGTGAACCATTGGGCAGAGTTTTCTTCAGAACCTCGGGGTTACTGAGATATATTCGTATATCTCACCCCGTCTCGGGGCATTTATTTCAGGATGTACCAGTGGCATTGGAGCAGCGGTCAAGAGGCTCGCAGAGTGATAGAGGAGCATTTTCAGTATTTGGCATATTTGTTCTTGTGGCATGCCTAAGTCTAGTAGTTTGTATCATTTGAACTTATGTTTAAATTGTAATTGAAGTTGTAATATTGTAAAGGGTAATTTGAGGTTGAAGTCGTAAGTTGTAATATTTAAGTATATGTTGTAAATGTAAAAGAGATGCATGATGTACTAAGATGGAAGGATTTTAGGCCTATGTTAGAGTTATGATTATATGCTTATATTGTGAAACTACATGTAAATGGGACCCTTGTGATTGAAACAAGCAAGGATTATAATGTGAGTTATATAGTATAAACTGTGTAATAACTATAAACTGGATTGGGTTGTAAGTGCCCCAAGGCGTTGTTGGTCCTTGTGTGTGCTACCCATTGGATTATTATTGTATTATTATGTGATTATTAGGTACCTTTGAGGCATTAGTGAGCTTGTACAATTTGGGGATTTAAGGAAAAACAAAGGAAACTCTGGCGAATTTTCTGTAGAATTGGCATATTTTAGGTGAACTTTGGGAGAGCATATCTCCCTCCACAGATGTTCGATAGGGACATGCCATACGCCATCTTGAAGATTGAGATGTTCCCTATGTGGTGTTAAAATATGAGCCAGTTCTAGGTTGTACGAAGCCCTGTGGAACTTATTGAGTTAGGACTGTCCAGGGGCCTCAGATGCTGGGGCTGTTCTGGCCAGTTTTTGGGAATTTGATTTCTGCTTCGTCTCTCAGTCAAATTGAGCGTGTGATACACCAAAATGAAGTTTGAGATGTCTAGTTTGTAGGATAAAAATTTGAGAGCAAATGGATGAGTGGATTGGGTGCAGTAATTCGAGAAGTGTGAGTGGTTTTGAGCTGTTTTGGGGTTGGTTGGCTGTTTTGCTTGTCAAACTTCAAATGGTGATAACCGGAGCTAATGAGCTCCGATTAAAGCGTGTGATAGCTTATTAGAAAGGGAATTAAGTAAGAAAAAAATATATACCGAGGAGAAGGTATAGTTGTGAGAGATGTATTCGTAGAAAATTAATTAGTGAACCATGTTCAAAGAGGTAAAAGCGTAAAAATTGAGTAATAGGCTAAGTGGGTTTATGGGAACCCCTTAGTATCTTATAATAAGTAAAGTGAGTTGTATAAAGTAGTTAAATAAATATTCCGCAAGAGTTTACAGTTACGGTCACAACTTTTAATTATTACGCCTTTTATTGTTTTAAATACTCGCGTAATAATCGGAAAAAATTTACTCGCATTTTTGTAAATGAATCGCTGTGATTGTAACTGCGCTTAATATCATATTAATGTTAACAATACCGGTACATAACGAGATGTTACACAGATAAAAAACTATTGACAGAGAAGATTAACAAGACATGATAGCAAACAATTATCAAGTAGCATGTGCGGTGAGTGTGTGCGCTATAATAACTTCTTGCTGACTTAAATTAGCAGACTAGGGTATTAAACAAAGTGTTCTACATGGAAATGTGTATTGGCCACAATTGAAAAATGTCTAAATCCAGGCATGACTGATGTCATTCCCTTGTGGAAACTTACGTATAAGGTGGTCAAAATGCTCCTCCTCTCACCCCTAACACAATCATTAAAACTCCCTTCCATGAAAATAAATGTGCACGGAAAAAACCAAGAAAACAAGCAGAGCTTCAATCCATTATAATATAATCAAGTCAAAGCCTTAATTATTAAAAAGTGGGAGGGAATGGAACCTCAGAGCGAATCACGATTACTTAATTATAAAATAAAAGTAAGTTTAGCTGTGGTAAAAGTAAATTAAGGAACATAACACACAAGTTACATCAAGCACTTGCAGGCAGCCAAGGTTTCGATGGTACCTTTAGACCAACATCACCCCCTCAGTCCATTTGTCCTCATGAACAATTATTACATTGACTTTATTGCATTTTAATATATAGAGAGGATGAATTCGTCAATATACACATGTAACAAACACACTTAACATTTCTTTCGTAAATATTTAAGCAGAAAAAACACCATGATTAGTTGCACATAAAAATTTGTCACCAAACTTGTGACTCAACTCTACCAACAGCTAAATAGTCTGCAGTTATATGTTTTACTAGACCGACCAATCTGAGCACTATCATCAATCGTCATCTATTTCATGGAATTAGGTAGAATGATTCTTTTCTTAGGCATATGTTCGAAGTATAATACAAGGTCTGTTGGAACTGAAATTGTCATATTGTAGGCTGCATAATCTGCCACCGTTTTATGTGGGAAAGCAAAAATTATAGAGGTTAAAAGCTAAATGAAGAAGCAAAATTGAAACATATTTAAATAAGTTTTGCAGATAAAAGATATGAGATAAAGGAGAGCATGACATACAGGTAACGTAGCTTTTTAAGGTTGGCCAGTGTGTTAGGAATGGGACCAGTAAACTTGTTCGAGTAAAGATCCAAGCTCACCAAGTTTGCCAAATTTCCAAGCTCGTTTGGTATATTCCCAGTTATGTTATTACTGTAAAGTTCCCTGTCATTGAAAAGAATATTATCAGATTTGAGCAAGTACTAATGTCCAACGAATTATACAATAAATGACAGAACAAATTTGCATTAATGCTATGAAAAGGGTCAAAATCTAATAGAAGTTGGTAATTGGTATGGTGAAAATTGAACCACACAAATATCTATTGAAGGCTTGTATAGTATTCAATATGTAATCTTTTCTTCAGCAATTTATAAACTATCTCTGAAGACTGGCTAATGTAAAGCTTAGGAAGGCACCAAAAGTTGATAACACAGCTGTTCCTCAAGAGAATTGATTGTTCAACAAGAAAATGTGTGAGGAGGACAGCCCTTGCTTAGATTGAGACTCTCTATTACAACCAACAGAGGAAGTGCAAAAAACCTTCAATTTTTGACATTTTGATTGAGAAGGAAAATCAAAACATAATGCAATTGGGAAAATCTTTTATTTGATACCATATTAGGATCACAAAAATAAATAATATACCCCAATATTTCTATGATATGAACCAAGTAGATGAGTTATGGGGATTTGTCAATTTAATTGCCTTATTCACCTATTTTACAAAGTTAAGCATACTAGCCCTGACTGAGAAGGTTATTTTCTTTTAGAATCATGTTTGCAGCAAGTGATTTCTTGATGAAAACGTTGTTCAACAAAAAACAGAAGAAATCATGTAAATACCATAATTAAATCCGTTCCCCCCGCCCACTTCCAAAATGGTCAAAGGAAACAACACAACTTTTTCTATCAGAAGGAAAGACAGACAAACAAACAAGAACTTCATGAAAAATGAGAAACATATTGTCAACGAAGAGTAACTTATCTATCTTGTTTTGGGAGTTGCAAGTGAGAAAATATATTTTCAAAAACAATATACAATATTAAGAGGAGACCTAAGTCCCTTCTCCTATCAGGGAATTGAGTTCACATTAGTTTGGAGCATTGAGGCATTGAACAAAGAATTTATTTTGATGCCTGGCCAATAAATATAATACTACTGTTTATAAGGTCATCTTTAAAGAAAGCAACAAAAAGAACAAAAATTGAATAACAATCAAGAAATAGTGTTAAGCAAAATATGCACACACAAAAAAAGAGGCAAATTTACCGAAAAATATCATATCTGTTTCACAACTTACAAGTATTGCAAATTTGGGAGCTGACCAAGCTGTGGAACCAGTTGTCCCATCAGGTTTGAATTTCCAAGATCACTATCCAAACACAAATTAATTTTTCACTAAATGCAGTAAAGTTCATAAAACTACTGGTAAAGATGACATAAATAACTTACACACGGGTCACGCTATTATCGAGGTTGCATTTAATATGAAACCATGTGCATGGATTGGGAAGGGTGGCATCCCAGCTACCAAGATAACTGTTCTGATCATTCAAACTGTTCTTCAATGCAATCAGGGCATCAACTGTCATAGAAGCAATATTCAGGTGCAATTGCAAATATTCTCATAATATTAAATCATTCGGAGTAAAGAATCAAACAAGTGTCAACACTTACGTTGCTCCATAAAATTGTGCGAAATTCGGGAAGTGAAAACTCTCTTGGTATTCAATTGTGAGAAATAAAATCCTACATATAATGCTTTAGATTTTTGGATGAGATATGAGTTGTGACTGTGACAGCTTCGATCCTTTGTGAGAAAACAAATCTCAAAACGTATTGTAATCAACAATTAGGCCTTAGGGTGAGCTCCCCAAGCATAAAATTTAAAAAATTTCCATTTACAATTAACAAACAACCCGAGCAAATGTTACAGAGCACCAGCAAACGTTGATATGTAATGATAATAGTAAACGTATGCTCATGCATTGACTCATGCGTTGATAAATGTTACAGAGCACCAGCACATCATGAAAATTATTAAAATATTCAATTCTCTTATCATATTCTATTAACAAAAATATTACAGGCAGAGAATTGGAGTGAAATTTTTCGAAAGCCACTCCAATAACATAAAATCCCCTATTATTAATTCCCCCAGTTTTATTTATCATTCAAACAAATGAGCCAGTTAAAATAAATCTGAAAGGCCACAAACAGAACAAGAATAGGAAAATAGAACAAAATAAAAAAGGCATAATTTGAGTATTTTCTTAACCCTTCTCATTAACAGCACCTATTTAATGGGAACAGAAATGTATGTGACAATTAAAACCGCAAAGAGTAAGAACAAAAGTTCACCACTCACCTTCAGCGTTGCCCGAAACCTGAAGCACCAAATGAAGCAACAAGAGTGACCAAAGAAGAAACAAACCCATGAAAGATGATGTCACTCGCTCTATGTTTCCATTCCTCTTCAACAAAATGCCATGAGAATGAGATAGATTCATAGTCATGCACGTGCACTTCAACTTTAATCCCTCATGCACAAACCTTCTTAATACTAATTAATCTCCATCATACCCATCTAGCTCAGAAGTAAGTTGACCTCATTGACCAAACGAAATAGGTGTGAACTTTTAAGATATAGCGCATAACCGTGCAAAGTTGGGGGAGACTCCAGACAGAGACAAGTCCATGAACGTTGCATTACTAACTTTTCACCGACAGAATATTCAACATTACTGCTACTCTGTTACTATCATTCCAATTATAAACCCTTATTTTTATGGCCAATGGACATTATATTTGAATAACCTAATTTTACAATAGAAAAAATAAAAGAAAAAAAGCCACGTAAAGAGAAAGAAAAAGCGAGAGAAAAGAGAGAATCATTAAGGCTCGTTTGATGAGTTTTTATAAAAATGATTTTTTATGCATTTCTTTTTTTAAAAAAACTTTTTCTAAGAGATAAAAGCTCATAATTAGGCCCGTTTGGATTGGCTTATTTTTAGCCAAAAGCTATTTTTTTATAAAAAAAAACACTTTTACTACAAAGTTTATTGGAGTACGATATGAGAGGTGTAAAGAGAAGAGCAGGTGCTCCAACATGGGAGAAGAATTTTGTAATGATGTAATAGGGAATGTTAATAGGGTTATATTTATCCCATGTACTACTAAAAATTGTTTATGATATTTAGTAGTTCATGTTCAATGGTCACTTTGTGATTTAAATATTTCTAGAGTGACGGATTTGTATTTCTTTTTCTGAAGCATTATCGGTTTCTCTTCTTACTTTCACTCTTGATTTTCATATTTTAGATAATATTGTTTGATTCCTCTATTGTTAGACAATGAGATAATATTAAGTATTTTTATCCATTGTTATTATTTCGTAATAGTATAAATTTGGATGAATAGGTCTTACGATTTTTCTCTCGTATTGGGTTTTCCACAATAAAAGTTATAACATCCCGAGCGCTGACGAGGGCGGGGAGTGATCGCTGGTGTGAAAGGACACGGACAAGGAGCGGCTCCTGACAGGCTTCCAGCGGGTAGATACATGAATGAATCGAATCGACACCCGAAAGAGAGAGATTCTAAAGACTGTGCAGGTATGAGACTGCTCAGTTGGAGATATTAATTGATACTACCTATACTAACAAAATGCATCTACTTTTCGGTAGCCCAGAACGGAAGAACTCTATAGCTAAGTGTGTTTGACTTTCAGTAATTTTGGGATAGGTGACCTCCTGGAAAGTTTTCCTAGGAAGTGTGCGAATGAGAAAAAAGCATACTGAAAAGTCTCGTGTTAGTATGTAGGAATAGTCATTGATTTTTGAAGCGGTCGGGCGTTACAAAAGTCTTGTGTGCCAATTATTGGTAATGTTGTTCTTGATATTATGTTTGAGTTGTTTACTTCAATTTGCTTTGATCTATTTGTTTGGCCCAACAAAGTGATATGGGTGTTTGTGGTGTAAATTGAAATGAAAGGCATCTTGAGCACCATGCTTAAACTCAATGGATCAAATTAGTTGATTTGGAAGTCTATGATAGAGGATTATTTATTCTACAAATACTAATACAAACTTGTTGAAGGTAACGTTAAGTGACCAACAAATATGTGAGATGCAAAATAAGAAAAATTGAATAGAAAAATAATTGGCGTAATTAGGCAGTGATTGGATATAAATGTTTTTCATCATGTTGCAAATAAGACATCAGCTAAAGAACTTTGAAAAAACTTGGCAACTCTCTATGAGAGAAAAATAGTTGTGAACCAAGTATTCTTAATGAGAAATCTTATAAACTTGAAGCATAAGGATAATATTATTATCAGTAAGCATCTCAGATACCCGGACACGCCATTTTTCAAAAAAATGCGTGTCGGACACATGTCCGACACGCAGTCAACATTTTGGGACGCGTAGTCAACTCTCCGACACATTTTTTCGACACACAGTCAACTTTTTCCGACACGTGGTCAACGTTTCGACACAATTTTTTTTAGTCTTAATTTTATTTTATTAACTAAAAATAAAAAAGTCATTTATAAATCAATTTTTTTCTGTTATAAAATTTGACATGAAAAATTACTTTTTTTATACTTATGTTATAAAATTTGAATATTGTAACACCCCGTTCTAGAATCGGTTTGTTAACATCACGTATGGCGTTAGGCGCAACAATTGAATTAAAGTACAGATAAACTTTTTCCCTTTTTCCGTTAGTGAACGTTAATATTTAAAATCAAATCCGTAATTAAAACAATTCCAATAGTTGTAATTATAACTTAAACTATGTGCGGAACACCTAATGTAATTTTATTTAAACCATACGTTGTTACCCTTGTGTGCCAAGTAGTCCCCTTGGACCAACAAAGCTTATAAATTAAACACTAAACATCTTCGCTCTTTATTCGTAAGACCCTGCGTAGCGTGCTAGCGTTTCGTGAGAAAAGGTGCGTTTCAATCTCAGCTACGCGCTTGTGATTTATTGTTGGATTATCTTGTAGCAAGTTTTCTGGAACGCAATCATTTGTTGTTTCTCCGATGATGTGTTTCTGGACCCAAAAAGTTTTGATCTTTTACATGACCTTATTGATCTGGGTCTGTTTTCTAGGGTGCCTCTTTCGCCTTGAATTTTTTGGTTGATTTTCATTTTCATTTCATTTTCTATTGTTTAATATGCTTATCTCTGTGTTTAAATAATTTTTCTTTTGATTTTGAGTTCTTGGGTGTGTTGCATGCATGTTTATGATCTTTCAGATTTTATTATTTATTTTATTTTATTCTGTTTTAATTTATTTTATTGCATCAATTTCTGGGATATTGGGATGGCTTTGCCGTTTGCTGAATGAAAATTCTAAATGGTCTACTTCTTAACTTGCTTTCAAATTTTGTTTTGATTTTATGAACGAAGTACTTGAACTGTGTCTCTCTTTCCCTTACTGTTGTGCTGAGCAGGTTATAAAAGATGGCTGATGATAAGGACATTCAAACTCTTGTTGTTGACAATGGAGCTGGAATTACCAAGGTTAGTGAATTTATTATGATTGAAATATGGGTAGTTCCTTCGGTTAATATTAATTAGCAATCAAATATTTTATCTTCATGGAAGAGTCAGATGGTGCTTGTTTTGCTATGGAACAAAGTTTTCATGTGCTTGGCTATTATGAAAGACAATAGTTTTGTTTTTATTATGGGTAATTCCTTGCATATGCTGGTGTATTCTTATTTCTTGTCTTGCAGGCTGGTTTTGCAGGTGATGATGCCCCAAGGGCTGTGTTCCCTAGTATTGTTGGGCGACCTACTCACACGGGTGTTAGGGTTAGGATGGGTCAGAAGGATGCTTATGTGGGTGATGAAGCCCAGTCAAGAAGTTATATACTCAAAATCAATTATCCCATAGAGCATGGTATAGTTAGCAACTGGGATGACATGGAAGAGATTTGGCATAACACATTTTACAATGAGCTTCGTGTTGACCCTGATCAACACCCAGTTCTTCTTACTGAGGCGCCACTCAATCCCGAGGCCAACAGAGAGAAGATGACCCAAATTATGTTTGAAACCTTCAATGTGCCTGTCATGTATATTGCAATTCAGGCTATTTTGTCTCTGTTTGCCGGTGGAGACACAACAGGTTTGTTTCTGTACTTGATTTTGTTTTCACTATTTTGTGATCATGGGACTTTGATTGGATTAGGTCAAATTAACAAACGATAACACTGTAGGATGGTCAAGTTTTGATGGACATGAGCATTCTTTAAGCCTAATTGTGGCACATTAATTGGAAATTTGGGGAGTAAAACTGGGTTTTGACTGGCACATTAATTTTTTTTGAAGGAAAACAAAATTATATATATATATAAAGAGTGCTCTATGGGTTGTTAAACAGTTTTAATTAAAAAAGAGTGGGGCTGGGATGCTACTAACCTCTTACATACTGTCATGAGTTATCTGCAGTTGCGGTTTAAGGGATGGCTACGTGTGAGGCCTCATTTATTAGGGACGGTGGTGTTGGTGGGAGAAAGCTGATAAGGGATTGGTTCATACTTTATCAGCCAACTCTCACTCTTCATTTGATTCTTCTTCTATATCTTTCACTTTTCAATCAAACAAAATATATTGAATGGAGGCAATATAATAAAAGTTGAAGTTTTCTTTTCTTTTCCTGTTATATATTTTTTTTTAATGCTTTTAATTAAAAAAAAAAGAAAATTCGGGTATTTTCTGGGTTGGCCCCCTCCAGTGAATTCCTGATTCCGCCACTGATTGGTATTGAGCTATTGTTTATATGAATAGCTATTGTGCTTGATTCCGGTGACGGTGTGAGCTAGGTAGTGCCTATATATGAAGGTTATGTTCTCCTTGATGCTATCCTTAGGCTAGACCTTACTGGCCGAGATTTAACGGAGTACTTAATGAAAATTCTAACTGAGAGAGGATACCCTTTCACTACCACTGCTGAACAGGAAATTGTACGTGATGCGATGGAGAAATTAGCTTTTGTGGCCCTTGATTTTGAACAAGAAATGGAGACTGCTAAGAGTAGTTTGGCTGTGGAGAAAAGCTATGAATTACCTGATGGAAAGGTCATTACAATAGGGTCTGAGAGATTTCGTTGCCCAGAAGTTCTCTTCCAGCCTTCTCTAATTGGTATTAAAGCTACTGGAGTCCATGAAATCACATACAACTCCATCATGAAAAGTGATATTTATTTTAGGAGGAGTCTATATGGAAATATTGTGCTTAGTGGTGGGTCCACTATGTTTCCTGGCATTGCTGATCGAATGAGCAAGGAAATAACTGCTCTTGCTCCCAGCGGCGTGAAAATCAAGGTGGTGGCTCATCCTGAGAGGAAACACAGTGTCTGGATTGGTGGGTCTGTCTTGGCATCACTTAGCGCCTTTCAACAGGTTTGTGCCATTGCTTTTCTCGAGAATTTTTCATATGTTTTGGCCAAGTGTTTAGTAATCCGTAGGAATGTAGGATGGATCAATATATGGAAGTCA